CTAAATACTTAAAGGAATGCTTTGTGTCTAGTTGAACAACAAAACCAAAGGAGCTGTCTTGTGTCTCCGTCAGTCTGGCCAGGTTTGCAGTGCCGTGCTCTGGTGGCAGGAACGGAGCTGTCTTGTGTCTCCGTCAGTCTGGCCAGGTTTGCAGTGCCATGCTCTGGTGGCAGGAACCGAGCTGTCTGGTGTCTCCGTCAGTCTGGCCAGGTTTGCAGTGCCATGCTCTGGTGGCAGGAACGGAGCAGCAGTCACCTTGCTGTGAGCCTCCTTTGCCACGTCTTCCCCTGCCTGCACCAGACCCGCCAGCTCCGCTCCCCACCTGAAAGACCATAGCCGCCCTCCTTACACCTCACGGTGACCTCCCTGGTTATCTTGGCCAGGGAGTCATCAAATCCCTTTTCCCTGTAGTTCAGCTGAGTCCAGTATCTTATCTATCAGAGACAAGTTTATGAGGCAACAAAACTTGAAAACATTTTATAAATCACCACTTTTCATCCTGAGAAAGTCCAGCCTTACCCAGGCATGGCCCACATGTCTTGCTGCTGTAGGGCCAGGGTTCCTTCGCTTTCCTTCTCACTACCTGGGTTGGAAAGTGGGTGCAGCCACTGCGTGCATTTCTACCCTCTGGGAGATATGGGTTTCTCAATTGCTTGGTCTGGTGGGAGGCACAGTCTGCTCTAGAACCTGCTTTCTGGTATCAGCTCCATGAAGGATAACACCCTCGTCTCTGGGCCACGATGAATTTTTACCCCACAACTCTCCAGGGCTCTGTGATTCCTATATGTGGAAGGTGCATCTTTGGCCCTAGAAATCTCTTCATGATGCTGGTAGTTCTTGCCCTTCTTGGAAGGCTTTATGGCTCCGGACATCTCATCCTTTTTGGTTCATGCACAGTACAGTTGCTGTAACTGTTTAAGGCTGGTCTATCTTGGGGTGAAGCTTGGCTTCGCTTGACTGTCTAAGCTAGCAGCTAGGTCTTAACCATGGCAGTTGTCGCAATGGTAGCCACCATCATCCTGGGCCTTTCCCTCTCAGGTTAATTCCTGCTGATAACATGTGCCCTATTGGGCTGGACCCTGCCCAAATGACTAGATTCTCTGTGACGGCTTCCCCCAGGTTGCTCCAGAGAGACCTTCTAGAATCCCATCACTTCCTGAATATCAGAGAACAATTACATGTATTGTAAATATAATCGTTCCCAACAATGGCAGCTCTTATGAAAACACAGAAAAGGTGCTTCTCGAATGTAGAGATGACATGAAATTGAATAGGAAGCAAATGTTTTGGAAGCCAAATCAAGAGTCAAAAAGATTTCAAGAGTTGAGGATGACTTGCTAAAAGAAATAGGATGGAATTTGAAATATAAATGCATTGTCCTGACCCATAGTTTAAAAAACTGTGTCTTCAAGCTTGAGATTGGCCATAGCTACCTTAACTGCAGTTCATGCTGGGGTGGGAGTGGAGATTCTGTCTGGCTGAAGACCATGGCAGCCTGAGTGCTAAGAAGCGATGAGCTCTTCAGTATGTTACTAGTAGGACTTTGTCCAGAGGGAAGGGGAAGCCCCAAGCCCTCTGTCCAGGGATTCAGCCCTGGCAGCCTGTGGGCCTGACGCACTGTATTGTGTTTGACTAGCATGTTGACTTTGAAAAATCTGGATTCCCTTTGGGTGAGGCATATACTCTCCAGGCTCAGGCATTTATGTTACTTCTGATTCTCTGGTGTTTGTGTGTGGCCTGATGAGTGTTTGCGGATGTTCCTCCCTCCACACTCCCTTATGGCCATGCTTTTCTGGGGCACTGGAATCCATCCTGGGCCCACACTTTGAGAGGGACTTAACAAAATGAAGGGGATAAAGATGTTCTGGAGAGGAAAGCAATTAGACACCAGCTCACACTGTAATAGATGAGAGAACTGCGTCCCAGAGAGCTGTTGGGACACTGAGGGGCTATCCTGTGGGGAGGGTTAGGTTCATTCCATCCCAGGGAAGGTGATGGACTGTGAGCCTTATTCAGTCACTAAGTTAGAGGAGGCTGAGAGGAGCGAGTCAGTCTCTGTCCTCAAGGCCGTGTACCAGAGAGCAGAGGAGATACACAGAGATGGTGTGAAATAGCAATATGCACTCCGTGTTCTCCAGAAGACGAAAATGAGGAGGCCGGTTTCCGCTGGGTTTAGAATGGCCTTTCCTAGCAGTTAAAGCTCTCCCCAGATGGGATGGCTACCCGGGAAACTTGTCATGAGCCATGCTGTCCCACTGATGGGGAGGAGGTGGAGCCACTGTGCGTGGGGTCTTGGTGGGCGACATGTCTGCCTCTGGTAATCTCTGGTTCCAAGACCATGACTTGCTCTCCTTCACTGATCTAGAGAGTCATCACCATATTATATGCCCGTGGGTTGTGAGTGGTGTTCTAGGCAGACCACCCTGGGTGAGCGCTGGGTTGCAGGGTTTCCAGAGTGTGTGTGTCTTTTGGAAGCACAGAGCCAGTGCAGGGCCCGGCTGTTTTCCTTGTTCCCAGGCTTGGTGGAAGATGCTGGTGGCGTATTAGGCAGGTACAGGCTTGTTGCTGGTGGCATCTCTTGTTGGTTGGCTTGCATCTGCTGGGAGGATCATGATAGCCTCTGAGTGGTGCAGCTCCTCATTTCCTGGGACAAGCAGCCTGAGGAAAGTGTGTTTCCCATGCCCCCCACCCTCCAGGAACCCAGATAGAATCCAGAAATTAGCTGCCCAGACAAGAGAGTCCAAATTCTTCCCCTTTGATGGCAGAACTTTAAAATAATTCAGGTTTCTATTGTGTCCCTAGAGTCCCTGAGCCCTGGAAAACATGTAAGCCACATCTTGGCTCCACGTGGAAGGCTAAACCAAGCAAAGGCAGCATCTCTTCACGCCCTTGGGGGAAGATGTTCTGGTAGCGCATTCTTGTCCTGTCCTCTTCCTGCTCCCACATCGCCGTTGTCATCAACTCTCACATCCCCAGTGTCTACACGACTTAATTGTGAGGAAGGCACACATGGCTTCTTTCTCTTGGCAAACACACTCTAAGGTTCAGAAAGGCAGATGCTATCTGAATTTGGCATTTCTTCTCAGTTTTTGCATGTTTGACCCTGGTTTTGCTCTCTGGAACATTTTCCCCCAGATATGTCACAAACCACCTGAAGAATGTAGAGAGAAATTGTAGTAGGTCATGGGGATGGAACTGCCACCCATCTCCCCAGACTTGCTGTCACTGCTCTATGCAAAGGAGACAGGCAGCTCGTTCTAAAAAGCTTGGAGCCAGAACTAAACGTGAAACCCCACAGCTGGTGTGGCTGCAGGGTGTGTGGATGTTTCAGTCATCCTGGCAGACACTCTGCCCTTCTGGGAATTCTCTGCTCTGGGTGAACGAGAGTTGAGCCAGCCCAGGCTTCCCCACACCTTCACAGGAGGGGGCCGATTGGCCACACTGCCCGCCTCCCACACCAGGGCCCCTGGAATCTCTAGAGTAATAGCAGAGGATGGACGTTCTCAGCCCTTGCACCTGGAAATTGTACGTGGAGGCCTTAAGAAGTGCTGGTGCCTGGGCCCTGTTCCCCAGCGGTCATTCTTCAAAGCAGCTTTATATATTTCACATGCTGTACAGTTCACCCCTCAGGGGTGTACAGTTCACTGGTTTTTAGTACAATCACAGAGTTGTACGACCATTACCACAATCTGAGGACATTATTGGCTGTCACTCTCCATTTCCCACCAACTTCCCAGCCGAGGCAACCAACCAGCAGTCTACTTTCTGTCTCTATAAATCTGCCTATTCTGCAGATTTCTTATAAATGGAGTTACATAATAGGTGGTCCTTTGTGACTGGCTGCTTTCACTCAGTGTGATGTTTTCAAGGTTTGTCCACAGTGTCATGTATCAGTACTTCATTCCTTTTTATCACCAAATAGTATTCCAGTGTATGAATATACTATGTTTTGTTTATCCAGTCATCAGCTCGTGCACATTTGGGTTGATGCCACCGTTTGGCCATTATGAATAACACTGCTAATGAGCAATGTGTACACGTGTTTGTGTGGACATACGTTTTCTTCTCTCCTGGGAATATACCTAGAAGTGGAATTTCAGGGTCATATGGTAACTTTATGTGTAACCTTTTGAGAAACTGCCAGACGTTTTCCAAAGTAGCTGCACCATTTTACAGAGGAATTTCATAGAAGCTCCCGTGGCGATTCTAGGTGTGATTCTGTGTGCTGCAGTGTGGACGAGAATCCTCACTCTGCCTCGTTTGGAAGTAAAATAACTACAGAACAGACATCAGCATTCTCACTGAAGGAGGGACTACTTTTAGAGCAGAGCATGCCCTCCCCCCAATTTGTTCTCTTCAACATCCACATCCCTCAGCTCTCCCAGTCCAAGGTTAGCCTGAGCACCTGCTAGGAGACTGGTCGGTCTAGTGTCCACCTAGGGCACAGCTTGGCTTCAAGGAATTAAGCTGATCTGGAAAACTGATCTGTAGGTTAAGCAGAGTGGGGCCACAGATGTGTAATCCCCACTTATGAGGATGTGACATCTCTTCTTGTAAGTGTCATCATTTTCCTGGTGCAATCTGATCAGAACTGAGTCATGAGGTGCTGACAAAAATCCAGGGCACTTAATGTGAAATTTGAGGCATCTGCTCATTCCTGAGATATTCGCAGCTGTCAGCCTGCCGTCTAGATGGTAAACAACTTGCTGGGGATGAAGTCCTGCCACTGGGACTTTTCCCGGCTCATCTGAGAGGCATTGACCCGGAAGGTGTGGTGCGCCTGTGAGAATCTGATCGTGGCGGGGCGCTGCGTGGTGGTGGCAGAGGATGGAGCAGCCCACCCTTCACAGCCCTGCTTCCACAGTGCCCCGTGGAGGGAGGCAAAAACCACCCCCTGTCCTGTGGGCTTTTAGGGAACGTTGCTTCCACCGCAGGTGGGCATTTCCAGATGGTGCCTGTGAACCGACGTGAGCCCGGTGTTCTCTTCCTTGTGTTTGCAGCCATGGCGCAGGGTACGAGAGCGACAGCCACACCACGCCCATCCTCTGTGGTGCCCAGTACCGGATACACACCCATGGCGTCTTCAGGGGCATTCAGGTGAGGACGTGCCTCCTTCCCCTCTCGGCAGCCCTCCCTTCCTTGCTGATGGCCATTTGGTCCTGGAAAATCTGTTCCTAATTATAGGCTCCTGTGGCAGCAGGGACCCCTTTTCTTCCCCTGGCGCAGGTAGGGCAGCCTGCCCATCTCCACAGGCCAGTGTGAACGTGCCACCTCCGGGATTCAGACCCAGGTGCTTCCTGCAGAACCCTTTCCTCCCTCACCACCTAATTAGCCTTCTCCCAGGTGGGGGCACATCTCTTCTGTTTGGGCTAATTGGGCCTGAATTAATGACCTGGACCCATGACTTGTAAGATTTGGTCTGCATTGTAAAGTGCCCAAAAGTAGTCTCTGTCTTGCTGATAATAATAGTAACAACAACAACAGCAACAATAGCAGCACCACCTGTGGCTGGACACCTGCTAGATGCCAGGCATTGTGCTAAGTTTTATAAATGGACTCTTTTTTAATAGCCTTAATTTTTAGGGTAGTTTTAGCTTTACAGAAAGTAAAGAGCCCGAATGTCCTCCCCCTTCCCCGTGCTCCCCACAGAGTCCTCTGCTTTTAGCAGCCTGCATTAGCAGGTACATCTGTTATGAATGAGGAGCCGGTACGCACACATTGTTGTACTCAAGTCTGTGGGTTACATTACGCTGCACTTGTGTTGTCAGATTTGTGTGTTTTGTTAAATGTGTAATACGTGTATCTACATTACAGTATCATACGGAAGAGAGCCATGACCTAAAGATACCCCTGCTCACTGCACCCCTGCAACCACTCACCTTCTCCCTGTCTCCATAGTTGTGCCTGGTCCGGAATGTCATGTAGTTGGAATCACACAGCATGTAGCCTTTCCAGACTGCCTTCTTTCACTTAGTAACATGCGTTTAAGGTTCTTCTGTGTCTGTGCATGGACTTCCTTTTCTTCATTTAATCCTCAGCACACCTTTATGAGGGTGGGTACTGTTAGCATCTCTGTTTTATGGATGAGGCAGCTGAAGTCCAGAGAAAACAAGTGACTTATCCAAAGTCACGTAGCTTTGAAGAGGTGGAGCGGAGACTTATAACACAAGTCCTGTCCGGCTCCAGACCCCGTGTTTAATGGCCATGTGATCAGCTTGGGGAAGGGTGAGTCTCCAAGGAGAGTAAAGAAAGTCAAGCAAAAAGGTGAATGTTTCAGAGAATTCAGGAAACTCCTGGGAGGCCCCCACGGAGCCTCTCTGGGTAGCCAGACCACACACTTACCAGGGGTTCTTGCTTGTGACTTTGCGTGTGACTTGGTGGCTGCATCGTCAGTGACAGCACTTTCTCCAGAGTCGTCAGCACCCTAGAAATAAGTCCTGGGGGCACTGGGTCCCCACATAACATCTGGGGCGAGGAGCTCTGAGATGTTCTGAGGGATGTTTCCAGAGGCGTCATGGTGATAGAACAGCGTGTCCTTCATCCTAAACCTTCCAATGGAGAGAAAAAAAGGGAGAGGTTACAGAAATAGGGAAATCTAGTGTAAGGACAGAAAGAGTCAGCCAATCTCTCCTCTAACAAATTCCACGAGAATCCTCCACCAGGACCCAGACTGATGTTTTATAGCCCATTGCTGTATGTGCTGCATCTAGGATGAATTAAAGGAGATGGGAAAAACTCCTTCTTTCAACCCAGCCCTTCTGGTCAGACTCACTGTCGTGGCCTATGATTAGACTTCAGACCACACAGGTGTAGTTTCACTACCTTCTCATGACCCAACACCACTGGCTCACCATTTACATTTATGCCACCCTTTGCCTTAAGACAGTGTGGCCTATCAACAGCAAAGCTGTATGTCAGTACAGTACCTTTTCTTCAAAAAAGATGATCTTGCAGTGCAAGGCAGTGTGAAATAGGAACCAGACCACAAGCATGGGGGTGGCATGATAAATGCACAGGCAGGGGTGGGTTAAGCTCAGAAGTGGCTCCAGTCCTCACACATAACATGCACGTGCTCTTCGGCCTTGACCGGCTCATCTCTAAGAGACTGAGGAGGGTTTGGCCCCTTGGGCCCTTCCGGTGCTCCCATCTGTGGCTCACCCACCAATGCTGAGAATGGGAAGAGGTTTGCCTCACCATCCTCCTCTGGCTCCTTTTCAGGGAGGGTTGACCATACACACACTCATTCTCACGAGACGAAGGGATCAACAGGAGGCCCTGTGAGGGGCATGGAAAGTGCATGGGAGGCACACGTTTCCTGGGATCACTGTGAGAGGGCTCCTCCAGCTACACAATGGGCCTCAGCCGCCTTCACACACAGAACCCCCACCTGCTGGGGCTCCTCTGTCCTTGTCCCTTGCCACACACACACACGTGGAGGGCCTGGTCAGTTTGGGGCCCATTCAGTGCCCGCAGTTCCCTCTTGTAAGGACTCCTTACCTGTTGCAGGTTGGGCCTGATGTCGTATGTCCCTGTCTCCGATGGGGAGGGAACAGAGCAGAAGGTGGAACTGTCGGCTCCAGGCCTCGCTGCCCCACGTGGAGATGCAGAGGGGTGGGGGTGGAGTAGGGGCTCTTCTGGCACGAATGTTTCTTTCCAAATGCTCGGGGTCATGACCCCAAACAGACTTCGTTTCAAGTACGGGTTCTGGTTGATCGGTGGGGATGGCGTCGGGCTGCGCTGCAGGATGTCTCCATCTGCCTCTCTTGACGGCATCTGCTAGGGCCTGTGGGGTGGAGGAGTGTCCAGGCTGCGTAGCTTCCGCCCCTTCTCTTGGCGGGTCCCAGCACCCTCTCCCTTAGGGCGAGCTCGGACAGCCCCGTGTGGCTGAAGCCTCTGTTTCTCCCACTCTGCTTGCAGGACGTGCGCCGCGTGCCTGGAGTCGCCCCGACGCTTGTCCGGTCAGCGTCAGAGACCAGTGAGAAACGCCCCTTCATGTGTGCGTACCCCGGCTGCAATAAGAGATATTTTAAGCTGTCCCACCTGCAGATGCACAGCCGGAAGCACACCGGTGAGTGTGTGTACCGGCCAGCCAGTCCCAGTGGCCTTGCACAGGGTGCTCAGAGCTCCCGCTGCCGGAGCTCACATGCCCGGGACACGGGTGGCTTCTAGGGTGGGACATAGCTCTGCTTTGGAGGGTCTGGCCTCGGCGATGGGAGAAGCTCGGGCCATCTGTGTCCTGACTGCCCCTCCTTTGTTAAGGAGCAGAGCAAGAGTGGGAACGAAGTCCCCAGAATGAAAGACTCTTGCTTGAATTCTGGCTTCACTGCAAGTGATGAGACCTTGAGCAAGTCACCTATCTCTCTGTGAACTTCATTCGCTCATGTGGCAAATGGAGATGAGAATGCCTGCCTTGTATGGCTGTTAAGACTAGATCAGCTTTTAGAATCAAATTGAGGGAAAGGAGTTAGCGATATGAAGCACTTAGAAGAGCACCCTGTGTCGACAGTCTGAGTGAATGATAGCGTTATTGTTAGAATGCTGTTAGTGTCTGTGACGAGGGAGGAGCCAGCCTGGGGAACTCAGTTATCCGACCATTTTGAGAGCTTGAGGCAGGTCATCTGAGATAGGAAGAGATGGTCCAAAGGAAAACAATTGCCTGCGTCAGTAATAACTAAGCAGATAGGCATGAGGAGATGGATTGTAGGTTTAATTTTAATTTTAATTAAAAAAAGATGATTTTTGAAGATGTACCAAAGAAAACTGGATTTCCCACAGTCAAGGGGCCTGCCTCTGGGAAAGAGAGAGCCAGCCTCGTCTGCTTATTGGCCCCCTTGAACGTGAGCTGCCGCCTCCCAGATGTTTGCTGTGGGCCTCATGAGCACTGGAGGGGAGTGCGGTTGGGTCTCCCCTGCAGGGAAGCGTTCTTTCCTACAGGAAGGAAGGGAGCTGGTGCCTTCTTTCCACAGCTGAAGGACAGCTTCGCCATTATGATTACCATTATTATTTTACTGTTACTGCTGACTTTGCTTTTGGGAAGCTGGAGAAGAAAGCAAGTTGCATTCAGATCTCTTTAGACTATTGGGCTTTGCTAATTCCTTGCACCTAGAGGATACAATTCTGGCACAAACCAGGGTTTGCACTCAGTAGACCACTTGCTTGAGGCTAAAGGTGAGAGGACCAGTGGCATGTTATGGATCATTTGAAAAGTATCTGTTCAGGTTACAAGGAAAATTGTAAAGTAAAATTCTGCCTGGAAAAATGCAGGGGAATGCATTGAAGGCAATATAGTTGTAGGAACTTTTAATGGGAAAGAGGCAGTTAGAAAGCAGTGACAGATCAATGTGTGTGTGAAGGAGGGCGTGGGCAGGACCCCCAGATTGCTGGGGCCCTTAGGCAGCTCCTTGAAGAAGATGAGGAAGCAGGCTGGTATTTAACAGCCCTGCGGCCCCTTCTCAGAAGCGTGCCATTTTTTCTTATTTATTTATAGACCAGTAGTACAGACTGTTGCGTTAAGTACTTTCACATTAAATACTTTCTATGTGCCGGACTCTCTTAGTCCTCACACACAAACAGTTGATGGGTAGGATACGGTGGAAACAGACTCAAACTCGTGCCATTTCACCCCGAGTCACAAGCCGCCTTCTCAAGGAGTTTTTGGTCTCTTTCGGAGCTAGGGACTTGGAGGGTTTGTGCTAATGAGCTAAATTGGAGGCTGGGGGTGCTGAGGAGTGCTGAGGGTATTGACTTGAGCTAGGGTCATCCCAGAGGGCTTCTTGGAGGAGGAAGGGCCTGGGCTAACCATCCAGGGGTTGGTAAGTTCAGGTAGAGGAAGGACGAGCAGAAGCAGAAAGGCGAGGAAGAGAAATGAGACTGAGTGGGGGCGTTTAAGTCTCAGGCGCTGGGCCAGGTAGAACGATAAAGCCGAGGAAAGGCCCCTGCCCTCCAGACTTCCAGCCCTGGAAGAAGGCAGACCTGGACTCAGCCCCCGGCGGCGTTAGGTGTCGTGGTGATTCTGTAATGAGGGGAGGAACGCCTTGATCTGAAGGCGAGGTTTCCGAGAAGGCATTGCCGAGGAAGCAGCATTTTTGAGGGTGGGTGGTGGACGTGACGGGCGGGGGTGAAGGGTGATTAGTGTCAGCAAAGAGCAAGGCCGACTTTGGGGATGGTGTGCTTGGGAATGCCGATCAATTGGGGAACGGGAGGAGGTGGGGAGGCTGGAAAGTAGCCGGGACTGCCCTGCAGGGGAAAGACCCGGCCGAGGCTCGCTCCCCATCCCAGAACAGTGACTCACAATTCTCCTAAGGAGGTGGGCAGGCCCTGGCTCTCGTGCATGCCTGGGGCTCACTTCCCAGGGTTTGGCTGAACTTTCTCCAGGAGGACAGGGGTGGGGCTCGTCCCTTCTGCCCCTGGCAGGAGGTTGTGTAATCACCCTGCTGCCTTCTCTTGGATAAGGGACACCAAAAACCTTCTAAATGCTGTGACTCCTGGTTTAGCTTGAGAGTCTTGCAGCCACGGAGCTGCCTGTGTTTGGCCGGGAGCGAGAGGTCAGCAGCAGAGAACGCCAAGTCTTCAGGCCGTGAAAATACATCGTGGGGCCAGCTCTCAGGCCCATCGCCCTCAGAATTTTGCCTCAGACTCAGTCTGGGAGCTAAGACCTCTGTGGTTGTTATTTGTCTGAATGCTCTCTACCAGTGTTTTCTGGGCTGAGCCCTTTACCTGGATGGTCTGGTTTAGTCTGTTCAAAGATCCGTTGAGGTTGTCAGATTAGGGGCCCAGTTTCACGAGAAGGAAATGGCACCTCGCCCAGGGCTTTGAGGGGCAGAGCTGGTGTGATCCTTGGGTCAGACTTGGAGCCTGAGTTCCCCTCCACCTCTGATGGGGGAGGGGCCATCTCCTGCACCTCGGCCCGGTTCTGGGCCCACTGACCACGAGTGCGTGTGCACGAGGGCCTTAACCTCACTCTGCCGTTGGCAGCACCCTTTGGACGGGCTCCGCCAAAGAGCCTCAGGCGTCTGGGACCCCTTCAGGCTGACTTGAACAAGACCCCGTTCCCAGTGTCCCTTTCACATGGGTGTGTCTCCCCAAGGTGAGAAGCCGTACCAGTGTGACTTCAAGGACTGTGAGCGGAGGTTTTCTCGGTCAGACCAGCTCAAAAGACACCAGAGGAGACACACAGGTTTGTGGGCTTGCTTCTTGCTGCTGACAGGTCATTCCTTTGGGTTACGGTGGACTGGGGATTCGCTTTGTGCTGAATGTGGATGTGAGAGGGTCAGCCATTTGTTTAGTTTTTCCAGTAATTTCTCTTCTAACCTCTGGAGATTTTTCCCTCTCTTAAAAATAAGAAAAAGGAAAGAAAAGGAAACATCCCACATTTCTCCTGCACACCACAGGACAGTGAGACTGCACCGCAGTTTGCTCATGGGCACTGAGCATCAGTAAAGAGCACAGGTGCCGCCTGCAGCAGGAGGTGCCTTTGCTGTGTCTCGGGCATGGCTGAGACCTCGCGCGAGCTGGACAGTTGTGGTTCAGGGATAGTTGTTCCCAAGACAGCAGCAGGTCTTCAGGGGGTACTCGCGGCCTCAGGTGGTTCGTGCTGACCTGGAGAGTCGGGATGTGAGAGTGAGGCCGGCGTTGCAGGTGTGGCCGCCGGGAGGCAGGCCTTCTGGGCCTCGAGCCACCCCCACGCTGTTAGGGCCGCGGTGAGACCTTCTCTGTCCGTTTAGGTGTGAAACCATTCCAGTGTAAAACTTGTCAGCGCAAGTTCTCCCGGTCTGACCACCTGAAGACCCACACCAGGACTCATACAGGTAAAACAAGTGCGTAACTTTTCTTCACATTTATTTTTCATTATTTTTTTAAACTACTGTTGGATGCAGTTGTTTGTGATGAGAGAGACTGGAGAGGACCAGGGTGAACCCCTAGCAGGGTTAGGGGCGGCCGAGAAGGGAGAGAGTGCGTGACTGTCTTTAAATAAGGACAATGCTGAGGAAGGGCTGTGGGTACAGGGCAGAAGAGAGACCTGCCAGACTCCTGTCACGAGTGTCCAGAGGGGACGAGCGGTGAGCGGCTCCCTCTGTCCCTGCTTGTTGCATCACCTTTTTATCACTCAGTTTGACTTGATAATCAACCTTATGGAAAAACAGCAGAAATTCCAGCAAGCCAAGTGTTTATTCTCCTGAAAGCCCCCGTTCCATGACACTATTTCCAGAGACCTGGCTCCTCACTCTGCTACAAGTGAGGGCGGCAGGAGCGGGCCCTGTGTCTGCTGGGCTCAGGCCAGTGTGTGGACGTTCTGGCAGAGAGCAGGGAGCAGGTGTCTGCTCGCGGGCTGCCAGGCTGCTGCTTCTGCACAAGGCTGCTGTGATTTGTGTGAAAAGAGCCCCTTCCTTGTGTGGGAGGAGGGACAGTGCCTTGGTTTCCTCAGTTTATCTTCACGACAACTTCTTCAGGCGAGTAGGGGCCTGTTTTACCCCCGTTTTACAAATGAGGAGACTGAGGCACACGGTGACTGAACGACTTGTCTGAAGTCCCAGCGCTAGGAAGTAGCAAGCCCAGTTCTATCTGCCCCAGCCCTCCACATCCCTCTGCCTTCTTTGTTGGAGAAAGAAGGCTTTGGGGTTTGGGGTTCACCTCTCAGCCCAGGGAGGAAGGAGAATCAGGAAGAGCCAAAGTCAGCAGAGCTGAGCACCATTGAGAGCTGAGAAGAGTGCAGACCGACAGGAGCAAGGGCTAGGATCCGTCCCTCAGGACGACCTCTGACAGCAAGGCCAGAGGTGGGGGAGCGGGAGGCAGATCTAGAAGGAGAGGAGCAGTGAGTGGGGTAGAGGGAAGCCTGAGGGCGCCAGCCCCCTGTGGTCCCACCTCCTCGGCCCACCGTCAGGGTCCAGGCACCTGTGCCCGAGCTGATGAGATGGGCGTCTCCTTCTGCCTGCTCAGGGGCCCTTGGTGTTGTGGCTTCTTTGCCTTAGTCCTGAGTCCGTAATTTGAGGGGAAAGAGTTATTGTCCCTGCCCCCGGCCCCACCCCATGCACATCTGCATGTGTGTCGCCAGCAGACCCTTTAATGCTGGATTTGATGGGCCCCCAGTTCTGACCCTGGGACAGTGCCCGCCCCTCCCCCCACCCAGGACATTTCTTAGTGCTGGTTTGGACAAGTAGTTCTCTGAGAAGGCAAAGTGGGACAAGTGATACTTGAGCAGCTCCCCCAGGTGTGAGAGGGATCAGCTCCTGTGGCGTTTTCACTTAGGAGAAAGCACAGGGGTGCTCCCGTTATGACTACAGTGGGGGCGCGGTGTGGGGGCACATATAGCAAAATACATGGGCTTTGCAATTAGACGGACGTGGACTTGAGTCCTCTGCGTCTGCGCTCGCCAGGTGGCCAGCCTCTCCCGTAGAGTGGGGATAGCAAAGCTTCCCTCGCAAGGCTGTGGTAAGGAGCACATAATGTGAGGGCACAGAGAATGTCCAGCACAAGGTTTGGCGTAGAATAGGCATTTAATAAATGCCAGTTATCTTCCCAGTACAGAACGAGGCTTGGAAGGAACCGCTAAGGGCTCCGTAGATGGAGAAGCCTCCATCTTTTGGCAAGTTCGTTAAAAACCTCAAAACCATGCTCAACTAGAATTTTCTGTATAATAGGGTTTGTGCTCTAACGCCTGAAGGAAAAAGAAGCGAGCACCAGGCACTCAGATATTGTGATTTATTTAAAATACCCCACCTCTCCAGAATATACAGACAGACATTAAAGCCACAGTGCAGCTCTCCTGCTGCATGGCAGTCAGTCAGCAATATCCAGGATGAGCATCTGGAGGCCCTCGAAGCCCAGTTAGGCTCAATTCTCTGCTCAGACAGCAAAGGGGGAAATCAAACAGCTCACAAAACAGTCCAGCAGCAGAGGTTGAGGCCGATGTTTTCTTCCCCTAAACTAAATATGAATTGCCCAGATATTTCATTAATTAGACTCATTCCTCCGCTCCCATCTCCCAAGTCATCTGACTTAATAATATTTTATAATTCTTACAATATTTCAATCCTTAAGGCCCCAGAGGTACTGCCATTTCCAGGCTGCCTGTGAAATGAGCCGTTGCTCAGCTCAGGGAGAGAACAGGAGGGAACGTGGAGGAGGGGCCTGTGTTGACTGAACTCGGGCCTGGATGGTTGAACTTGGCCCGGCTCTCCATGTGAGGGTTTCTAACTGGCAATTGTGTCAACAGGTGAGAAGCCCTTCAGCTGTCGGTGGCCCAGTTGTCAGAAAAAGTTTGCCCGGTCAGATGAATTAGTCCGTCACCACAACATGCACCAGAGAAACATGAGCAAGCTGCAGCTGGCGCTGTGAGGGCGGCCCAGGGCAGCTCCGTCCCAGCCGACCATGTGGGAGCTGCGCTCAGCTCTGGCTCGAATGCCTCCTCACTCACCTCTCCAAGAAGGACATGGCAGTTGACCTTCTTCATCCAGCTTCCAGGACAAGATGCCTGAACCACTGGACCGACCAGGTTTGCCTGGAGGAGCTCCGGGCTCTGCTTTGGGGACTTGTAGTTGACTCAGGGCCCTGGAGAAGTGGTTGACACCGCTGGGTCGGTTAGAAGCCCACCCCATTTGGTCTGGATTTTCCACTGTAAGAAGAGCTGCTGTCGATAGCTCCCTTCTCCTGTGCACATTTTCACTGGGAATGGAGTCACTGTCCATTTTTCATCATAGAATATTTATAGGCCAGGGCATGTGTATGTGCCTGCTAATCTAAACTTTGTCATGGTTTCCATTTACTAACAGCAATAGCTAGAAATAAATTAGAGAACGAGGCACTGGGGCGAGTCGCGTAGACATTCTGGAGGTCAGGCGGGCTGCTAACCTGGGAGGCAAGATGTAGTGCTCCCAGCAACTGTCAGAACTCCTGCATTTCAGCAGCTGAAAAAGAATCAGAACTAACCAGTACCTCTGCAGGGAAATCTGAAAGAATCTTACTGATCAGTTAATTCTGTGTCAACATGTGGCACATCTTACAAACCGTGCTTGAAGATCGGAGGTGTTGTTTTTGTGTTTATTTTTGACTTTTTGGAGTTGTAATCTTATGCATCTTCAGAAACATACAAATCTCCTCACACAAAAGGAGTAGAGCTCATCTTCATCATGTGGGGTGTCCTAGAGTGTGCAGATCATGCCGGTTATGTGGCTTCAAGTTGTAAAAATTAAAGTGACTTGGAAAGAAAATAGGGGCTAGTCCAGAGTCTGCGCTGATGACTGTTCTCAAGTAGCGTTGGGTCCTCCTGTGAGGAAGCCCACTGAGGAAGGCGGTTGGGGTGTGGGTTGTTTTTTTTTAAGGGAGGGAAGTTATTATTTACTATTGCTTGAAATTATTATGTAAATAATATATCTGATAATGATTTGCTCTGTGATGACTGAAGTTAGGAAATGTACAAGCGTTAGTTGCATCACTGTTCTCGTGTTGATTTTGCGACATATTGATGGTGACACTGAAATGTAACCTGTGTTTTCACTTCTCTCAATTAAAGTCTGTTCAAAAGGACAGTGGCAGGATTCCGTCAGCTGTATTGTGTTCAGATCTCGAGGACAGTCGAGGCTCTTTTAACAGGTAAGAAGGCACCGACCTCCATGACCACTAGTTAAGCCGGCCCAGGACCCGACCACGGTTTGCTTCCCGGTCAAACCTCAAGAGGCGGTTACTGTCCCAGAAGTGGACCGGGCGGCGCCTTCACTGGCATGGTGAAGTGACTGCTGGTGTTAAGGCTGGATGGGCGCACAGATGGCGTGGCAGGAATCAGTTCTCAGGGTTTGTTTTACCCAGCCTGTCATTGCAGCACCTCTTACTCCTCGCCAGCGGAAGAGAGTAGGGAGATGCTGATGACAACTTGTCTGTTGTGAAAAGCTCACAGGTAGACGCTATGATGAGGAGGGCTCAGTGCAACTGAACTTAGAACTCTTATTGCTATAAATCAGCTTGGCTGGCTGACAAGCGCCCAGGCTGCCCAGGGCAGCTGTGTGAGAGCAAAGATCTACATTATCTATAAACTGTAAACACTGTCTCTGGTTCTGCTGTATGGCTTTTCAGTTGTAAATACGGAGGTTAATTTGCTGCCGCCCCTCTCAGCCCCATTATCTTGAAGGTTGTATCTTGGAGGGTCCAGGTTTCATTTCTTCATTTAAATGTGTCTTGAACAGATGGCAGCTCAGCCACGGAGACTCTGTTCTGCATTGAAGTGCAGCTCAAAGTTTGGGCTGCCTAAAAGTCAGGTCCTGAGGCCCCTCTTAGTTTGCATCTGGCTCTTGCATCACCGTTAATTATAGCGAGTGGTGACTCACTTGTATCAGCCGTTTTTATCTTTTCCTGCCAGAAGACAGCATTTCTCTGGAGAAGCTCAGGACCAGCACGGCAGACGTCAGCGGCGAGGTGGGCGAGCCAGTTTCCCAACAAAAGCAGCCACATTGTCTTAGCTGCACTGGGAAGACCAGAGAGCCTGACACTGCCCCAGCCGCTGGCGTGCAGCTAAGGTCAAGGGCTTTGGGAAGCAGACCAACCTGGGTTCAGATCTGAGGTCCCTGTTTCCTCATCGTTGAAATGGGGACCAAAAAGTCCCCACCTAATAGGGTTGTAGTGAGGATTAAATGGGGAAAAAAAGCATCTAGCATGTAGCAAAGACTTAATAAGCATCATCTGGGAAGACGACTGCCCGGGACTCACCTGCTGTGCAGTCGTCTTCACAGGTCAGTTCTGAAAGATGACAAGCCAGCCCACCTCCCACTTCCGTATGCCCAAACCAGAATTGACTTCAGGTTTGCATAGCAGGGCCTTTGCCAGCCTCCCCACAGGCCACAGCATGTTCTGTCTTTTCTAGGGCGCTGGGGGCGTTGTGTGTGTGTTTCTGAGACCATGGTGCTGACGTCAGCACATCGTCAGGGTGAAGGTTGGTCAGTTGGAGCTCTCTGTCTCCTGGGCATGTTAGGTGCAATTGTCAGAATGTGCATTTCTCCATCTCGATTCACTGTAGTTCCTGGTCCAGTTTGTGGTTCCATGTCTTTAGAAGACCACCTCCTGCCCCCTCCCCTTGCTGGATTTTCCCAGGCAGTCCAGCCATCCGTGACATCTCACCTCTAGGCGATTGCAGTACTCAGAGCATGAGTAGTTAAGGAGTACCTCGTGGGGGGCAGCGCTGTCCCACCCAGGACAGCCTGCAAGGCACCTCCCACTCCACAGATGGGGAAGCTGAGGCTCTGTGAGAGTAAGTGGCTTGATGATGAGACCTGACTCTTGCTGTTGTTTCCTATCATCTTCCAGCCAGGTGAGCATCTAGAGGGAGGGACAGGCCACCCTTCCCGTGTCTCTCATGTCAGGACTTCTCGACCCTCTGTCCAGGGGCATCCCCGAGGAGCCTGGGGTGGGCCTGGGATGTGCACTTCTAACCAGCTCCCAGTGATGCTGCCCTGCTGGGCTGTGCACCTCACTTTACGGAGCCAGGACCTGATGGCAGGCCTCAGAAATACTTGCTGAGAGGTGACTGCTGAGATTTGTGGTTGACCCTGGGACTGCAAAGGACCTTCTAGCCTAGAGAGGGTGGCTGTGAATGTGGCCGGGGCTCCGCAGCACTGCTCTAGGGGCTGTGGACATTGTGTTGCGTGTGGTCAGAGGAGCTGCACGCGCTAGTCCAGGTGAATCCATCTGTGAGGAGACTTGTTTTCAGTTTGCCTGTCCTGTCAGTGACTTTTCACAGGCAGCGGGGGAGGCCTTCCCAGGTGACAGGAAGCGTGGGGCATGGTCACACCTGCACACTAGCCCTTGCCCCTACTCAGCCCACATCATGAGAGCAGGTCTCTACCTTCCGACCCGCACACACTTTGGAGAGGATTTACTCCCTGTAAGCAGGCAGCCTCGCTGGCAGCTAGGATTCCCCACATCTTGCTCCCACTAGGATCCACTCGCTTGGCTCTCTTGGGTTCCACAGGGAGGGGACAGTGGCTCCTGGAGCCCCATCCCTCCCGCACCTCTGATCATGGACCGACAGGTGAGTCAGGGGTGTGTGAGTGGAACGAGGGTTCTTGACGGGGGTGTTTTCCTCAAAGCCTTGCAGCAGACAGAGTGGCTTCTAAGAATTTTTCACAGGTAAAATGCGTAAGATCCACAGTAAGGAAAACAAAACCTCAAGAAAATATGAAGTCTTGGCCCTTTTCATCCAGGTCTTTGCTTCTTGTGACCTTTTTACCTATCAAGTGTTTGAAACCTGTGCAGAACTTAATAAACATGTTGAAATGATCATGATGACAACAGCCATACCTGGTCTGAGTCCTTGCATAGAGAAACCAGCTGCTTCAGTGCAGGTCTGGGCTTTTCTCTGTTTTTCAAGCAAAACTGTGATTCTGTTAGTTCTCAGACTGGCCTTGAGAAGGAAAGAGCGAGCCAGACAGCATAGGAAGGGTGGTCTCTCAGACGGCTGGAAACCCACCAGCCCAGCCGGCAGACAGCGGTACACAGTCGAGTCTTCCTGATGGAGGCTGGGCCTCAGGCTAGTGAGGGGGTGAGGCTGACTCCTGAGGACCAGGCTGGCGAGGGGATGAGGGCAGACTCCTGAGGACCAGGCTGGCGAGGGGATGAGGGCAGACTCCTGAGGACCAGGCTGGCGAGGGGATGAGGGCAGACTCCTGAGGACCAAGTCTGGACAGTCAGCACCTTTCTGCACAGACTGAGACCAGCGGTGTGCAGAAGCCTTGCACAGAGACCTCAGATGCAAGCAGCTAAGGCAGAACCCATGAGCAAACGTGAGCTTGAGGAATGACAGGTATTTTTATGGAGCGGGAGGACTGGAGGATGGTCTGGAGGATGCAGCTGAGATTGCTGTGGATGGTGGGTTGGTTGAAACACATTGCTTTCCCCATTCACAGCGTCCCAGGAACATTGCCGATGGTGATGCTGGGTGAGAAGGGATTCTGAGGGCCACGAGGAGGCAGTGGACTCCAGGAGAGAGAGGAAGGAGCGAGTGGAAAGAGGGGGAAGACTCTGGGAAGAGAGATGAGACGGATGAGGAACAGAGTGCAGATGACCCTTGTGAGCCTGCACTAGTGATGTGCACACGCACCGAGGGCTTTCCCAATAGAGATCACGCGGTGGCGATGGCACCATCTGTGTACAGACCAGGGCCAGTTACAGGCATTCTCTTCCTGGAACGTCCCATCTCACAGATGAAGAAACTGGGGCTCTCAGAAGGGTCACACAGCTCATGTGTGGCAGAGCTGAGCGTCCCTGACCCCGACTTCTGTCCTTGTCCCCCGTGGAGGGCACGTCGGCCCGTGGGCCAGAGCAGGAATGCCAAGAGAACGCGTCCGCCGTCTCGCTTGTTCGGATACTGGGCACGTTTGTCAGGTTCCCAGAGCGAGGACAGACGTGACCGCGTGTTCCCTCCCCCCATATCCAGTTGCAGAGCCTGTTTGTAAAATATGTTTTCATTCAATATTTTATGTTAAATACCGGAACTTAAGAAATGACATAGCATAATGTTAGCCGGACAGTGATAAAAGGGGAAAATTGAGAAACACATTTAAAAGTTCAAGGTCAATGAGCACTTTTTAAAAGCAGCATCCTGCTTTCCCAAGGAGGCCTACGTCAGAGGGAGCGGCTGAGGAGGAAGCTGCCGGCCTCTAGTGACGGCGACTGGGGGGACTCCTGCGGACGCGCCCCGTGGACAGGACCGTCCCCTGTCTCAGCGGACAGCCGCCATCTCTCTAAGATGTCTCCGGGCCCTCACCATGCAAAGGCAGGAGGCCGGGGAGCCTGTCCCATGTCTGCTGTCCCGGTTTTTCTGAGGTCTAAAAATACGGCGACCCGTGTCCGTGGTCTTGTCACTCGGTGGGGGCGTCGCCTACCAGCCCTGACAGACAGCGGGAGGAGCGGCGGGGTCCGGTCGGCTCGTGGAGCTCTCGGCGGAGTGGAGAGGGCTGCACGGGCCAGCGTCTGCCGTCCCGCTGAGAGGCCTATGAATTCACCGAGGGGCAACGGCGTGCTCGAGGGGGACTGCGGACGCGGCCATGTGGGGACAGGCGGCTGCCATTTTCAGGCGGGGACGCCCCGGCCCGGGGGCAGCTGCGCGGCCCGGAGCTGTGACACTCTCCCACCCCACGAGCGGCTCGGCTCGTGCCGTCCAGCCGCAGGGCCTGCCGCCGCCCCGGAGTCTCCGTCGCCCCGTCTGACCCGCCCGAGTCCGAAGGCCGGCGCGCGGGGGACACGAGGTCCCTTCCCCATGGCGGTCGCCTCAGAGACGGGCTGCTGGGACCCGCCCTCAGACGCCGGGGGTCCTGGGAGGCCTTCCCGCAGCGGCCTGTTTGAGCCCGTCGCCCGCTCCCCCGGCCTCCCCTCCAGCTGAGGCCGGGGTGGCGTCTCCACCTGCAGGACGCGGCGGGAGGGGTCCCGAGGCCCGGGGGGCTCAGGGCGGGCCTGGGCGGCACCCCGCCTCCTGACGGGAGAGCAGCAGAGCTTAGAAACCTGCGGTTCTGAGAGGAACTTGAGCGAGCGCTGCAAGCCACGCGGTGGGCCCCCTCCTGGGACGGGCATCTCCGCGTGCTGCTACCGCGAGACGCTCACAGTTGACGCCCGTGCCCGCCTGCGCCACACCCCCGAGAGCTAGCTGCACGTTGTCTACTTGCCTCCACACTTGTCCTCTTTTTTTATGTGAGGAAGATTGCCGCTGAGCTAACATCCGTGCTCGTCTTCCTCGATTTCATAGGAGGGACTCCGCCACAGCGTGGCTGGTGAGCGCAGTAGGTGCGGCCGGATCGGAACCGCGAACCCGGGCTGCCGAAGCGGAGCGTGTGGAGCTTTAACCGCTCGGCCACGGCCGGCCCCCACACTGGTCCTTTTTGGACCACAGGCTGTGTGGACAGTGACACTCGGTGTGTTCCCCGCACCTGCCACTTCCCAGCCCGGGCACGCGGGCCGCTTTCCTACCTCCCTGTGCCGGCGCTCGCGGACGGCACGCTGGCGGCTGGGGCAGCTGGGGGTTAGGCGGCGGCCGGCGTGGGGCGTTGGACGGCGGTGACGCGGGGCGGGCGGAGGCTCGTGCGGGCCTGGAGGGGACGCGTCAGGCCGGCGTGGGGCGTTGGACAGCGGCGACGCGGGGCGGGTGGCGGCCGTGGGCTGGCCCCACTGCGCCGCGCTGACCAAGGCGGCTCTGCCCGCAGGCCGCATTTTCACCGCCGTGTCCAGTCAGTGATAACTCGTTTTTGCGAAAAATCTCCTCGTCCGGTCCACCGTGCACGACCTGCCGGTGAGCCAGCCCTGTGCTGGTCACGAGGCCGGGCGGCGCCGCCGCTGCGGACAGTGATGCGGGCCGTGCTTCCCTCAGCCGGTGACCGGTGACCGCCGCAGCCCTGGCCGCCGTCTGCGCGCCTCGACGCCGGCTGTCCGCTGTCAGGGCGTCGTTGGGGCGTCGTTCGGTGTCTGCCTCTCCTGCCCGGGCCCGGGGCGCGTCCCTGCGCTCTCAGCGGCGCTCATCCTCTCGCCTCGCCCCGGTCCTTCCCTGCGCTGCCCTCTGGCCCCGGGGAGTCGCCAGTTGGAAGATCTAGCCCTTCCCTCTGATGCCCGCGTTCTCGTGGCGGGTCCTGGGCGACATCCTGGGGCACGTCCCTGTGGAAGGCTCTCAGTTTGGGGAGCTTGAGAGAAGGATCAGGGTCTGGTCTTAAAATCCAGCCTCCCCCCTCTGTCTGATCGCTAGCAAGTTTAAGGCCAACGGTGGTGGTCGGGCTCTTCCCGGAACATCCCTTCAGAGCTGAGATCGGCCAGAAGGAGCTCTGTCTCCTGCACTGGTCAGTCCCTGCCCACAGCTGGAGAAAGGACATGCGGGCTAGCGGCCGCCCAGCCACCCGGGTTAGCACTGCTCCTGTGGGTCCCCTGGAGACATGGAGGCTCAGACCAGCTTAAGGAGGGGCGTCGTTCACAGCCTGCCTTGGAATCCGAGTGTTTAACTCTTTCCATCAGCAGCATGTGTCGTGAGCCCCTCTGTCTGCCTCTCATTCAGAGGTGAAAGGAGCCCAGCCCTCTGTCCACAGGCCTCACAGTCCAGGAGGAGAAGCAGAAACTTCAACAGAAATGCAGGCTTGGGCGGAAGATCAAGAGTGCGTCTGACCTGAAGAGGCCAGGGAAGGTTTAATGGTCAGAGCATTTCTCAGCCTGGTCTTGAAGGATGTAGAGCAGTCTCTCAGAAGGAGGAAGACGGGATGAACTCTCCAGGCCGAAGGAACCGCAAGAAGTAAAAGGACAGGATATCTTGGAGTGGCTGGAGCCGTGGTGGGGAAGGAGGCCCTGGCCATTGTCCAAAATGTCCCCTGCTCTCTCATAAGGCTGCCCCCTGGGCGCTGGCTGCTCAGTGGTGTAGAGCTGGTCCCACTGGCTTGCAAGAGCTGGTTGTTAAATGTCCAGGGATTTTATGAGCCGGTTGTGAACACATTAGTAGCTTGAATTGGGAGTGCTTACGCAGTGGAAATTGGCTTTTGTTAGTCTGTCTTCCAGGGAGCCGGGTCACCAGCACAGCCCTGACGGTGGGCACAGCTACATCCCAGGAGAGTCTGGGGACATGTCTCTTTGTACTTAGAGTCGATTATTCTCATCTGCCAGGAAGACCTGGAGTGTGGTTCTTCTTCAACATATGCTCTTCAAATGTGGGGTCAAAAGAGAAGTAGAAAAAAATCCAGTTCTTTCTGTTTTGAAGATGGCTTGGTTTGTGCAGGCCTTGTCCCTGCTCAGGCCATATTTGTATAACTCCTCCCACGTGTCCATTCTAAAGCCTCCTCGCGCCAGACTACAGGCCAGTCCCCACTGCGGTCAGTTCCCTGCCCTGGATGCCTCTCATGGGCGGACTTGTCCAGAGGAGCTCCTTCAGGACAGGGCTGGGCCTCAGACCCCAAGACCTCAGCTCAGACAGTGTCAAGAGAAGACTGACTTTCTAAAGAAATACTTTTTCTTCCTTCCCACTGAATTGACCTGTTATTTCATTGTCAGTCAACACAGCCCTGGCCTTGATAAATATGTGTCTGGATGTTCAGAAACAATTGTCCGAGTGCAGTGTGATAGGAGGAGGCAAACAAGACATGTTCCGATCGCGGCTTTGTTGCTGGCCAGTGCTGATAAGTGTGGACAGGTGATTTGATCTCTCTGAACCTCTTCTTCATCTGTACAATGGGAACAACAAGCTCCCCTCACAGGGTTGCCGTGAGGCTCACACAAGACTGTGTGCCGTGCTGGCTTTGCTACTTGCTGTCTTCTCCCCTCCCCGTGGGCTCTCACCACCCCCTGCCTTCTCCTCCATCAGTCAGTGGAGGGAGGCTGACCCTGACTGTTTGAAAAAAATCAGTGATGGATCCGTCTCCGTTTCTTCTGCTGGACCCCACCTGGTGCATCTTCGTCAGGTTGGGGGAAGAGTCGGAGCGGGGAGAGGACTCGCGGCTGTGGACCACCATGCTCTGATCTCTCAGAAGCTGGATGATGTGGGCAACAACAGTGCTCACCTCCTAGGTGTCGTGAGAATCCAGAGAGAGAATGCATTTGGGGTCTTGAGGAGTTTGCCTGGCTCACTGAGTGCTTGGGAGAGGAGATGCCATGATGTAACCTGTTGTGACTAAACAGATGGAAAGGATTCTGAGAGTCAACAGACTATAGAACTAGAGGGAGACTGGAATCCAGTCCTCTTGTTTGCAGAGACAAGGGCCACACAAAGCAGTGTGAGGCCAGGGCTCAACTCCAGGTGTTCTGACTCCCGTCCAGAGGCCACCACATCGAGTCAGCAGGAAATAGCTCATCCTGGCACTTGGACTTCTTTTTCCTACCGAATCTGGAATGCCAGAACAGCCCTCAAGGAAGATCGTTAATATTGGGGTTTGTTATTTGGGGCTAATTAGGACTCTCATTGCCATGTTCCCCGAGGGATAAACTGAGAGGGCCCGGGGCCTTGTTTCCAGGAATATGGAAGCTGTTACGTGTGGCCTCTGAGCACAGCCCCAGTGGGGACCGGAGTCCCTGAGAGCTGATGGACATACATCATCCAGAGATCCGGCTGCTTTAAGCCAAATACAAATACAGGCGAGACCCCAAACTGGGATTTCAGCTCTTTGTTTAGCAGAATGAGGCGTTTTAGCAGATAAGACAAAGCTTAGGAAATTGGCAAAAATCAAATAGCCTCAAAAATAAATGTATTTGGAGCAGAGTATCGACCATATGTGAAGCATGTAAATGATTTTTAAGTAGATTTTTTTCCTTTTTCTTTTCCTGCGTGTTTATTTTGGCAATTAGCTTGAGATGACTATTGACATTCTTGACTGTTGAAAATCTCCCTCTAGGAACTGGCCTCGTTTCTGCATTTTTGGCCCTTGTTTTAATCTGAAACACCCAGGACACATACACATGAGGAGGAGGAGGCGAGCCTATCACTCTCGTATTTGGCCTCTTCCCTTGTCTTTCCTCTGACTCCTGGTTAGCGCGGCAGAGTGGTGAAACCAGCTTTAGAGCTGATGGTCTGGCTTTGTGTCCAGCTCTACCACACTCCCCATGTAATCCTGATAAACCATTCAGCCTCTCTAAGTCTCATTCCCTCATCTCCAGAAAAGAAATACTAATGGTGCTTGCTGGGACCAGTCTGGGCGAGTCAGGAGACAGAAACCATGCCATGGTTTGAACAGGGTGATTTAATCTAAAGAAATATTAAACCGTGGTAGGTCAGCTATTCACTACAAAGACGTGAGGAGAGCCCTGCAGGGTACCCCAGGCCGAAGGAAAGTGCCCAGGGGAGACAGCTGGGGTGGGGCCTCCCCAAGCTGGAGAAGGCGTGGCTGTACCGCTGGGAGGGTCCTTTGACCCCAGCTGGTGAGCAACCCTGAGCAGGTGAGCCGGGTGGCTGGGCCAAGGGGCTGGGTGCTGGGAGTGTGCTTTCTGACTGGGTGGCACGTGGCCTGGGGCTGTGGTGTTGACTTTGGGAGGGCCCCGGAAACCGTCGTCCAGGGTGCAGATAAGCCTTGGTGCGCAGGCGGTGTGCAGGGCACTTAGGGAGCCTGAAGGGGAGGCCGCAGTGAGGTGGTCACTGGGCCCTGGGTGGGGTGGAACCCTACTGGAATGCCTCCACTGGCTGGCAGATGCCTGGAGCAGCAGGAGCAGCAGAGTGGACCCGCAGAGCCCAGAGGAGGAGTGTCTCCCCCTGTGGTGCGTCTCCATCACCCTCTGGTGACAAAGCCTGACACGGTGCTCACAGTGCCAAGGAGAGATGTGGAGCCCAGGCTGTCACCATGGAGCAGGTACTGAAGGGTGAATCTGGAGCTGAGAGGCAGGAAGTCATTAACCAGCTCTTGACTTCCAAGAGTTGTTTGAGGGTTAAATGGAAGAAGCCACGTAGGGTCCGTGGCACAAAGCCTGCCAACTTTCAGTGAATGGAATCTGTTCTCTTGGTTCCTGCTAGGGGATATCAATGGACATTTTCCAAAACGTGTACTCAGGTCTTTACTTTATGTGGTAATAACTCTACTGTTTAGTGAGAAACTGGCTCAGAAGAATAGCGTGAATATCCTGTAAAGGCCACAGAGGAAAACAGCCCCACAGGCCAGAGTCTCTGAGTGGTGATAATTAGCAAGAGACCCCTTTAGGGATCATCTCTGGGTAGCTGCAGCCTGGACTGCTTGGAATAGGATTGTAATGACCTGCCCCCACCAAGGTTTACAGGGCCCCCAACAGTGACCTCTTATTTGTGTTGGCTTACACCCTCTCCCTAGGCTTGGACATTGTTTCCTGATGGTTCATTCCCACATTTCCCTGCATGAAGGGGGCTTCCCTGGGTCCCAAAACCTTGTGAATAGCTACATTGAAACAGACCTTAGAGGCCGCCTGTCCCGACTTCGTTTTTCAGACGATGCCCAGACAAGGGAAGTAGATTTCCCAGGGTTGGCCAGCTCAGTGCAGAACAGTGACTGGAGTCCAGATCTTCTGAATACATCCTGTCTGCAAAGAGCATGCGATAAATGAGGCGAATGTTTTATAGCCTGAAATTGAGTTTCCATGGATGAGCGAATGTAGGTAGTCTCCCCCAAAATTATGTCCCTCCCAGAATCTCAGAATATGACTTTATTTGGGAATAGGGTCATTGCAGATGTAATTAGTTAAGATGAGGTTATACTGAAGTAGTGTGGGTCCTTAATCCAGAATGACTGGTGTCCTTACAAGAAGAAGAGAAGAGGCCTAGGAGAGAAGGCCCTGTGGGGACGGAGGCAGAGGCTGGAGTGATCACAAGCCAAGGCATGGCAAGGACTGCTGGAGCTGCCAGAAGCTAGGAGAGATCTGGATGGGCAGACTCTCCCTCTGAGCCCCCAAGAAGGACCCAGTCCTATCCACCCCTTTACTTCAGATTTCTGGCCTCCAGAACTGTAAGAGAGTAAATCTGTTGTTTTAAGACACCTAATTGCGGGAGCATTAATACCGTGTGCAAAGATGAATGTCTAAAGATTCGATGTGCTAGGAGACATTGTGCTTAATGGATACCCATGGTTGCTTGTCATGTTTCAAGGAAAATTTTATCTCAAATCACCAAGTCTTGCTGTTGGGATTCACTAGGCCAGGCCTCCATCATCTGTCTGTCCATTTACTCTGTGCTGTGGGAGCTGCTGGAGCTCAGACAGATGGAGTAACCCACCAGGTCCTAGGGCTGGTGAGTGCTGCCTGATATTTGGAGCAGTTCTATTTTTCTCCCAACTCAGTAAATGCTCTCTCCACTGCACTGAAAAGAATCCTTTATTATAAAAATTCTTCCAAAATATCGGGGTGGGGGAATGATCTGTTAACTGAGGTTATTATATGAATTGAATTTGGTTGTTTTTTGCAGGGAAAGATTTGCCCTGAGCTAACATCTGATGCCAATCTTCCCCGCCCTTTTTCTTTTTCCTGCTCAAAGCCCCAGTGCGTGGCTGCATATCCTAGTTGTAAGTTGTTCTAGTCCTTCTGTGTGAGCTGCTGCCACAGCATGGCTACTGACAGGCAGGTGGTGTGGTTCCACGATAGGGAAGCAAACCCAGGCCACTGAAGCAGAACACACTGAACTTTAACCACTAGGCCATCGGGGCTGGTTCAAATTGAATTTGTTTTTTTTTTTTTTTGAGGAAGGTTAGCCCTGAGCTAACATCCATGCCCACCTTCCTCCACTTTATATGTGGGACGCCTACCACAGCATGGCTTTCCAAGTGGTGCCGTGTCCGCACCCGGGATCCGAACCGGCGAACCCCAGGCTGCCAAAGTGGAACATGCACACTTAACCGCTGCACCACCAGGCCAGCCCCTTGAATTTGTTTTTGATCCTAAACCTGACAAGGACATAGCACCACCTTTACCCTGTTCCCCTCACCACCAAATGATTCACGCTAATTTTATGTGGGAAAAGATGCAAACACTGTATGTCAAATTGTATCCGTTAGAATAAAATAACACATATTAAAAGAATTGTCCACTGTGGTAACATAAGCTTTATTCTGGGAATGAAAGATATAATTTGTAGAAACTATTAATGGTTTCCTTCTTGACAGGAAAAAATTATCTTAATAAATATAAGCTCCTTAACCAAAAATATGTCATTTTCCTTGATCAAACCCTTACAATTTTTATAGGAAGAATTTCTTCACACATACACACACACACACACTTACACTTGCAAATTAAAACAACAGTGAGATACCATTTCACATTTGCTCTAGTGGCTACAATGAAAAAGACTGACGCCATCAAATATTGGTGAAAATGTGGAATACCTGGAATTCTCATATATTCCTGATGAGAGTGTAAAACAGTAAAGTAATTCCAGAAAACTTTTTGGCAGTTCCTTATAAATACACACCTATCCAATCCTTAGTATCTATTTAAAAGAAATGAAAATGTACATCCACAGTAAGAATTGCATAAGAATGTTTATGTCATCTATATTCACAGTAACTAAAAATAGGAAACAATTTAAATGTCCATTGGCAGGAGAATGAATAATAAATAAATGCAGTCTTATTCATACAACAGAATACTGTTCAACCTCAAGGAAGAATGAGTGACTTATTGATGCAACAACATGGATGAATCTCAAAAACAGTTTGAATGAGAGAAGCCAGACACAAAAGAGAACATAGCATATGATTCCTTTTACATGAAGTTCAAGAAAGGCAAAATAGGGGCCCGCTCTGTGGCGGAGTGGTTAAGTTCGTGCATTCCACTTCGGCAGCCCAGTGTTTGCTGGTTCAGATCCTATTCACAGACCTAGGCACCAGTCATCAAGCCATGCTGTGGCCACATCCCACATGGAAGAGCTAGAATGACTTGGTAACTAGGATATACAACTATGTGCTGGGACTTTGGAGAGGAAAAAAAAGAGGAAGATTGGCAGCAGATGTCAGCTCAGGACCAATCTTCCTTACACACAAAAAAGAAAAGGCAAAATAACTCTGTGGTGATAGAAATCAGAGCACTGGTTGCCGGTAGAGAGTGGGATTGACAGAAAGAGGGCACAGGGAATTGTCTAGGGTGATGGAAGTGTTCCATCTCTTGATTGGGGTGTTGATTGCTTGGTGTATGCATTTATCACAAGTCATGAAATTGTACACTTAAATCTATACATTTCATTGATTGTACTTCAGTTAAGAAAATAGTCCAGTGTGCCTCATTGTCACCACCCCAAGCCAAAAACTGGAGGGGAGGAAGAAGAAAGAATGGAGTAGAGTCAGGAGATAATACAAGAGTGGAGAAATGTTAGGAAGCTGTTGAGGCTGTGTGTTGAGCATGTGGTTCAGCGTACTTTCCCTTGGGCTTTGTGCATGTTGGAAATTTCCATCATAAAAAGTTTTTAAGAGCCAGCCCTGCTGGCCTAGTGGTCAAGTTCGGTGCTCGCCATGTCTAAGGCCTGGGTTCAGTTCTGGTCGTGGAACCACACCACCCACCTCTTGGTAGCCATGCTGTGGTGGTGGCTCACATAGAACTAGAAGGACCTAAACTAGAATATACGACTACGTACTGGGATTTGGGGAGGAAAAAAAAGGGGGGAAGATTGGCAACAGATGTTAGCTCCCAGTGAATCTTTCCCTGCAAAAAAAAGAAAAAATTATCAATGAAACTTAAAAAAAAAGTTTTTAAAAATTAAATGCAAAAGCCAATAATATCCGTGATGAAGAAGAATCAAAGCAATTCTCCTTCAAAATGGAAGCAGCCAGGGTGTCTCATGCTGCCACTGCTGCGTAAGGGGCTAGAAACGCTGGCAGGAACTAGCCAAGGAGATGAAGAGACAAGAGACATTAGGAGAGAAAGGCTAACAGTGCTCGTGGTGATGCAGCAATACGTCCGTCCGCACTGAAATGTGAGTGTATTATTGTTTTATATCCTCCAGGGCACTCTGGTGCAAAACTATTTCCCCAAAGTTTAATTTTGTTTTTAAAAATTTTTATTTGATTTGTTAAAGTTACAAAATTAATGCCTTAGTTCTTTCATGAGCTTCTGAGTCCTGTTTACAACTTTTACTATTTTATTTACAAAACTAGCAAGATTTGATTAATGTTTGATGCTATTTGAAAACTCGATTTTGAAGTGCATTTTTACATTTAAATTTTACATTTTACATATTGGGCTTTAATTTCAATACCCTACTTATCTGATCTGACAAACAAAACCTTCCTGCGAACCTAGTAACTCTCTCAAATCCAATAAATTAAACTCATAAGTATGGTGATTCTCAAGCCCTCTTCAAGCTTGGGTGTAAGTTTAATCAAAGTTCAATTTAAATATTACACATATACATCAACCACTCATTGCATTTTAAAACAGAATTGCAAAACTGACCTGTCAACTCAACTCAACCAAATTCTCTTAACATTATACTTAAAATACCAAATATGTACAGATATTTTAACACAAAAATATTAGTCTTTTTGTTCAGCTCTCTTACCATTTCTATACTTACATATAAAAAATCCTCAAAGTTTCAGAATTAAGGGAGCTGTTATCCTCCGAGGAAACAATCTCATT